CACACACCCCAGTGAGTCCTCACACAAGCCTCTGGCTTGGGCTCCACTTTCTGTGGGACTCAGGCTAAGCTAAGATAAAAATCACAGTGGGCCGGGCGCGGTGGCTCAAGCCTGTAATCCCAGCACTTTGGGAGGCCGAGGCGGGTGGATCACAAGGTCAAGAGATCGAGACCATCCTGGATCAACATGGTGAAACCCCATCTCTACTAAAAATACAAAAAATTAGCTGGGCATGGTGGCTCGTGCCTGTAATCCCAGCTACTCAGGAGGCTGAGGCAGGAGAATTGCCTGAACCCAGGAGGCGGAGGTTGCGGTGAGCCGAGATCGCGCCATTGCACTCCAGCCTGGGTAACAAAAGCGAAACTACATCTCAAAAAAAAAAAAAAAAAAAAAATCACAGTGGTCACCTGGGCATGGGTGTCCAGTTAGCCCTTGTGCTCACCAAGATGGGATACACAGAGACGCTATGGTTCCTGAAAAGGAAAACAACCTGACCTCATACTGTGGTCTCCAGGAAGGAAAAGCTGAGAGCAGTTCCCAGCGCAGCATCTCTGATGGGCAGGAGGGCCCATGTTCCATGGCTGTCTCATGTTCCATGGCATCCCATGTTCCATGGTGGTCCCGTGCTCTTGGGGTAAGCCATAGTGATAGTAGAAGGCCAGGGATCCAGGCTGACATGCCCCCACCCCTTGACAATGCACACGCACACGGGCACGAGCACATACACACAGGCTTACCCCTTAATGCTCTCTAATATGGCAGACAACAGCCACATGTGGCCATTTAAATATAAATTTAAATTAAAGATTCAGTTCCTCAGTCACACTAGCCATTGACGAACTGAGCCAGTGAGTCACTATTTCAAGTGCTCAACAGCCACATGTGGTCAGAGGCCCTCCACTGGACAGTGCAGAGGAGAACCCTGTGTCATGGCAGAAAGGAGAGTGGCGTTGGAAGCACTGGTCTAGAGTCACCACTCTGGGTTTTAGTCAATTAGCCAGGATGAAAAACACTGAACTTTCAACTCATCTCCCAGTGGAATCTAGGGCTAGTTTTATTTATGCAAAACCATAAAAGAGATGTGACAACATTTGTCCCCTGAGTTGGTGATTAAGCAGTTTATATGCGGTAATGTGAGCAGCAGTGGCTATCCGGATGCTAAAGGCACAGGAATCCCCAATCTTTATTTTAAAAAAATAGACCCTACTTTTAAAAGCTAATCAGACACACAGACATGCAGACACACACACTCTTAATTCCCCTATGCTTAGGTACAGAACACCCAGAAAGATTCTGGTCAGCACAATTGCCTACAAGATTAACCTTTCCAAAAACTACAAAAATAATGAAAGAATATTATAGCAGCTCATTAGTTATGTAATACCAAAATTTTACCTCCTGTGGATATCACTTATCTAAAATCAATGTGAGTTTCCTTAAAAACAGAGGGTAGAAACTACATTGGGATAGAAACCGGAAAATCTAGTGGTAAGTAAGCCTCTTCACCATCACGTGGAAGGCACTGGCCTTTGAACTGAAAATCTTTATTGTGAATACCAGGATATCATCAGATTTCTAGTATTCTAGAGGGCATTTAATATGCTTCCAGAATCTCTTGGTATTCCTGTTGGTACCCTAGAGGCCTATGAATCATTACATTAAGCAATTTATAGATGGTGTTGATCATATGTGACTTTTAGTACTAATTGTAAACACTGCCTTTGTAATTAAATACAGTGGGATGCAACACAACTGAACCACTTTTTAAAAATTCTTGGTTGAGGATGGTTCTCTATAGTGCCCAGTACAGTGTCCTGCCTGGTTGGACATTTCCCCTTCTACTGCTCAAGTGGAGGAATTAGTTCCTCAGGTATTAAGCCCTCTTCAGGCTTTTTGAGACAGAGTCTCGCTCTATCGCCCAGGCTAGAGTGCAGTGGAGCGATCTTGGCTCACTGCAACCTCTGCCTCCCGGGTTCAAGCAATTCTCCTGCCTCAGCCTCCTGAGTAGCTGGGATTACAGGCATGCACCACCATGCCCAGCTATTTTTAGTAGAGACGGGCTTTCACCATGTTGCTCAGGCTGGTCCTGAACTCCTGACCTCATAATCTGCCTGCCTTGGCCACCCAAAGTTCTGGGATTACAGGCATGAGCCACTGCACCCGGCCACTTCTGCTTTTATCTCATCACTTTTTCCAAGTGATCTTATCAGCAACTGGGGTTTCATTTGCCAAACATAAGTTGATAACTCCCAATAATAATAAGGGTTTCTGTTTATGCGGCATTTACTGTGTGGTAGGCCCTGTGTTTCACAAACATTAGCTCAGTTAGCAGTCCTAGCAATCTTCCCTGCAAGGCAGAAACAGCCCACAGCTCCTCCCACTAGCCCCTCGGATGCCCATGTCATGGGTACCTTGTCTGCACTTCTGAAACTCAACTTACCTTCCCCACAAATCTGCCTCTGCTTCTCTATACCTTTGTACAGAAACTCACCAGCCAGAAAACTGGTTAGAATCACCAGCCACGACCTGGACCAGTCCCTCTTATTGACTCTCCACTTCCAGTGAAGTTCCAAGTTCTAGTCTTCCTACGTCCTAAATATTTCTCCATCCCATCCATACTTCCACCATCCTAGACAAAGTTTCCAGCATTTCTGGCCTAGAGTCCTATAACAGCTGTCCAACTCATCTCCCTACATCCAGTCTTACTTCTCCTTAATTTCACTTATTTTAAGGTAATTGCTCTGTGTCTCTGAGGATCTGGAAAATGGGGATAATGGGGGGGGGGGTCTCCCTCATCCTCACAGGTCTACTTGAGTCAAACAGGACATATGGCTTTCTAAGTGGCAGGCACTTCATAATAAATTGCACAGACAACATGTGAATTGAGAACATTTGATGCTAGAGCCTACATGTGTAACCACCAGTATAAATGCCCAGGTTAGCCTACCATGGTTAGAAATGCCACTATAAAAAAGGGATAAGAGAAAGAATAAGATACAGATAAAAGCTTTTTAGAATGGAAATACAAGTATATTCAAATTACTGTAAAACTTAGCAGCTTAAAAGAATATTCATTAATTACCTCACAGCTTCTGGGGCACAGCCTGGCTGTGTGCCTTATAAGGCTGTAATCAAACTGTCAGGCAAGGCTGCAATCTCATCTGAAGGCTGGACTGGGGTTGAGGGGCTCAGAAGGTCATTCATGTGGTTCTTGGCAGGTTTCTGTCCTTGTCACGTAAGCCTTTGCACCGGGCTGCTTCAGGACATGGCAGCTGGCTTCCCCTACCATCTCTCAGACAATGAGAGAGAGCTCTCCAATAGGAGCCACAATCTTTTAATGACCTAGTCTCAGAGTGCTATTCCATTCATTAGAAGCGAGTTGCTAAATCCAGCACATATTGAAGAGCACTGGGACCCATCCCACAGGCTGCCTAGCATGACAGGCCAATCAGACATCATAGCCTGAGAGTGAAGTGGGAGGAGCCAAGGAAGGAATGGGCTCTGTCAGCGCCTCCCTCAGGCCTCTCCACTCGTTGCAGTTGAACTGACTGAGTCACACGTCCTGCTACTTGCTCATCAGTGGACACTCTTGTTCTAGCCTCCTCTCTGCAAATTCTGTCACCATGCAGGATAAGGGGATAACCCACTCATTCCTGGGGGCTGTTGCATACCTGACTTTTTACACAATTCTGAAACAGAATTAGCTTTGTAGTCAGGTCTAGTTCTACTGTCAAATGCAAATCCACATCAGAAAACATAATGATAAATAAAATCTAAGCATTATCACAAAGTTCTAAAAACTAAAGCAACTCAAGTTGTTTTTAAAACAACCAAATCTCTACTGGAGGATGTTAAAAAATAGTATACAATCGTGAAAATAATTATCTTGTGATATCATGTATGTATTTCTGAGAACTACTTTTATTGTAATTCAATTTACTGTTATAATAGAGAGAAAGCATTACAGTTTGAATTGTGTCTCCCTCCAAAAGGTATGTGAGAGTCCTAAAACCTCGGAATGTGACCTTCCTTGAAGACTGCATCTTTACAGAAGTAATTAAGTTAAATGAGGCCATTAGTGTTAGCCCTAAGTCAATATGACTAGAGGCAGTGTGAAAACAAGAAGTTTGGACACAGAAGCACACACACATAAAACTAGGGTGATGTGAATATAAACAGGGAGAAGACTGCCATCTAGAAGAAGCCAAGGAGAGAGGACTGGGACAGATCCTTCCCTCCTAGCACTCAGAAGGAACTGGCCCTGCTGACACCTTGATCTTGGACTTCCAGTCTCCAGAACTGTGAGAAAATAAATATCTGCTGTTTAAACCAACCAAGCTGAGATCCTTTGCTATGACAGCCCCGGAAAACTAATACAGAGGGAAGAAGAAAAGAGGGAGATTCAGACAGAGACAGACACAAAGAGAGAAGGAAAAAGACTTATTTTAACAGGCTGCATCTTCATCAAGATGAGTGATCCTAAAGACAAACACATAAGGGCCTACTTTTTATTGTTTTACGTTGAGACAGGGTCTTGCTCTGTCACCCAGGCTGGAGTGCAGTGGTGCAATACAGGTCATTGCAGCCTTGACCTCCCACGCTCAAACAATCCTCTCACCTCAGCCCCTCAAGTAGCTGGGACTACAGGTGCAGGCCACCATGCCTGGCTAATTTTTGTATTTTTTGTAGAGATGGGGTTTCTTCATGTTGCCCAGATTGGTTTTGAACTCCTGGGCTCAAGCATCCTTCTGCCTTGTCTTCCCAAACTGCTGGGATTACAGGCATGAGCCACTGGCCCTGGCCCAGGCCTACTCTTAAAACCTCATTTAGCACATGTATTAGAGACGGTGGCTCCACTCCTAGAGGCTGATAGAAATTTCTAAGAGATGCGCAAATGAAACGCAATTCCACGTGCAAAGCAGCAGACTCCCCTCTAAAATCAGAACCTGGCCCTAGTCACGGTGGCCCAAGCTAGCGGCCAAATGCCCAGGAGCCCCTACCTTCTGGTAGTCCTCTTTGGAGCTCAGGGCTGCCTCCATCTGCTTGGCGGAGGTTGGGTAGATGGCTGAGCGGTACTGAGTGCCGTGGTCGTTGCCCTGGCGCATACCTGGGAAAGTAGAAAACAGAGAGGGTTACCTGGTCACCAGGCAAAAGTGCCAGCATCCAACTGGCCACAATGCTGAGACGCTATGACACTTTTCATATGGTCTCTGTGCCTGATGTGTTATTAAGTGCTTAATTTTCTCTTTGCAGTATTTTCGTTAAACAAGCATGAAATGCACCTGTTTTGATTTGCCTGTTTTAATTATAACACATGTCTTTGAACTCAGGTAAATTTATCACAGGTCTTAGATCAGTCTACATGTTCTATAAATATATACTTTTACATGAAACGTTTAAATAATGATCTCCAATTGTCACATGTAACGCACTGCGATACACATTATTTCCTTGGGTCCTAAGGAGACACCTGTGTGGAGGGTCTCACGATCCCTCCCTTGGCAGATGAGGAAACGAGACAAGGTCTCTGCAAGTTCCTGGTACAGTGCTTGGCACGAGGCAGGAGTTCTACACCTACAACTAAAGTCATCCACCCAACGAAATTAAAGCCTGCAACTTAAAGTCAGCAAAGACCATTTTCCACCTGTCTCGGCAGCTGAAGGGTGGCTGATGGTCAGTTTCTGAGTGTGACAGCCACAGGGTAGCCACAGATTCCGAATATGTTGTCGTGAAAACGAACCAGGCACTGAGATTCAGGAATCAGGTTCAGTAGCATGTTCCAGCTAGTCACATTTTTAATACAGTCAGGAGAAAGAGACCAGCAGGCATAAGCAAGTATTAGAGGTGTTACGGGAAAAATCTGTGCAGGTTAAAAAAAACACAGGGGTTCAGCAAAGGGAGTGGGTAAGTTCATGTGATCAGTGCGGAAGGGACCTACATCTCAAAGGCTGCATCGAGGAAGCAACTCTTGTCTGGAGAGGGCAGCAGGTGGGCACCAAAGGTGAAGGTAGAACAGAGGTAAGGATTGCGGAGCAGTGTGGTGCCTCCAGGGACTTGGAAGGAACTGGTACTGCTTGTGAAAGCAGCTGCAACCCAGGAAGCATCTGTGTCAAAGCCCTGATGCCAGCTTCTCAAGAGGATGAGCATGTTACTCTCAAGCCTGAAGCCCAGATACGAAAGATGCTTCACTGGAAAAGATGGTTGGAAGCTCAGCAGATTGAAAACTCAGAGGAAAGAACCAATATCAATGAGCGGCTGGGAATACAAGCGGCCCTCCTTGTCTACCCATTGAATCACAAAACAATGAAATATTTGACTGTTATAGATCAATCTAAACAGACTTTCAATGCTGTTCTCCAGAGGGCAAAATTAACCAAAATTATGTTTTGAGATAGGACAGGACAGAAAAATGTTATTGAATGATAGAATAACCCCTATATGTCTTTCCTTTCTCTGCAAACAAATATGTCCTCTCCAGTAGAAAGAATTCTTGTGTGCTGACTGCTCCACAGTCTGGAGGCTACAGAAGAATTAGGTCATAATCCCTGGTCTCAGGGAATAACCAGGACGAGGGACGGAGGGAGGGAGGAAGGGAGGGAGGGAGGGAGAAGAGTAGTCACGAGCCTGACACTGCACTTCACCGTGCGAGGTCTCTGCCATCACTTCTTGTTTCATCCTCACACGAGCCCGGTGGAGAAGATATTCTTAACCCTCTTTGACAAAAAGGAAATTGTGGATCAGAGACATTAAGTGACCCACCTGAGGTCACACGGCAGGTAAATGGCTGTCCTGTAATTGAAACCTTGATCTCCCCAGAACCAAAGCCCTTTCTCCTTCCAAAATGAATGCATGAGATGTTACAGAAAATAATCGAGGACAATGGAGCAAAGTGCTTCTGGATGTGGGGTACCTGCTGGGGAGGGGGCATCCCAGCCCAGGGCCCAGAAATAAGGACAAGCTTGGAACGTTGTGAGGACTGGGAAGAGGAAGGACAAGGTCTGACAAGGGGCCTGGGGGGGCCATGAAGCTGGTGGGTTGGGTGTGTAACCACATAGGTATCTTGACAATCACGCCGCAGACCAGTGATGTGTGGAAAGATCAGACTCCAGGAGCTACAGAATTCTCTGGAACCCTGAGTAAGCATAACCATCAACCAATGACCCAAAGCTCCCTTTCACACAGATACAGCAAGTGTTGCAAAGTTCACCATGCTTTTGAAAAACTAAGAGGAAAAATTATTGACACTGTTTGGCTGTCTTTATGTACCAGGAAAGCAAGCTATGGGCTTTCAGCGGTGAGTGGAAAGAGAATTACCGGCTCAGAAACAACATCTTGTGCTTAAAATTCTTCCATAGTACTTTATAAACTGATTAATGAGGACTGGGCTTTGGAGCATTCTTGATGAGGACTGACCTCCTGGCATCTACCAACTGCTTGAGATTTCTCCATCCACCTTCTCCAAAGAAGATTTTTAAAGGGACAAACAACCCTGAGACTGCTCTAAGGCTTCTCTCCCTCTTGGCACAGCCAGAGGAAAACAGAAATGCTTCATCTACAGGGAAGCATAAGATGATGACTTCTCTGCTTGGATGGCCTCCTAAGCCTCAGCTCATCTTTGGGTACCAGCCCTGTTTTATCCATCCTGACTGAAGACATGAGAAATGTGTCTAAACATGAGAACTTTAAAGGGAAGTTCATGCTGGGAGTTGTTGCTAGGTGATCACTTTACAAGGTCTCAGGAGTTACCAGCTGATAGTGAACATCAGGACAAGTCAGGACCGACTCCTCAGGGTCTGAAATCACTATCTCTATCTTAGGGAGCTTCACGGGAGCAATCTCATTAGCAAGACTATCCATGTTGGCTGAAAATAGAGTGACTTCCACTAGCATCATCTCCACATTCTTCTCTTCTATAGACTGCCACTAAGAGAAAATGGATCCTGCCTTATCGTCTGCTGCACCAAAGGCCACCTGTGTGCTGCAGTGGCACAGGAAGACCCCAGGGATGCTGGCATTGGTGGGACAGCTCACCCAGGTGCCGCTTCAGGGTGGCCTCCTGCCTTCTGCTGGAAAACAGGATCTGTGAAAAAACATGCCATAGTGTCCTGAAGCACTCCCCACAGGTGGATGAGTCTATATCCCTTACGGTAATAGATGGCACTTATTATCCAGGTGACCCTTTCTGGTGCACCTAGTCTTTATCTTAGCTGTTTTGAGACAAGCCCTATGAATACGAAACCATCTCACTTTATCTGACGAAGAGGTTAATTCTGTCCATTTTAACTGATGGTTCATTTTTAATTTGAAACACTGAATAAATGAATGGGCAGTCCTCGTTTCATAAAAAGGAATGGAGGGAGGGAAGAGAAGAGGAGGAGGAGGAGGGAGAGAGAGAGAGAGAAGGAAAGAGATCATCAAAGTAGCTAACAATCCTAGGGTCCTCATTATGTGCCAGGCACTGTGCTTTATTACATTATTCATCCAATTCTGCAAATACTTGGAGCGCATTAGCAAACCCATTTCCCTTCCCGAAGGTGAAACTGACACTCAGAGAGAGGTCAGTTGCCTGCTGAAGGCCAGTGCTGCATCTGGAGCCATCTAACTCCCAAGTCCATAATCTTCATCACTATTATTTCCATTTGTAAATAATATATAATTTAAATTTTAAAAAATAAAGTGGAACATAGGGATCTATGAAAGATATTATGCGGCTCTTTCCTAAAAGGAAGACAGACACATAATATGGTCACTGTTTATCATGTGCACAATGTTCTTCACATTTCTTCATGCAGTGTGTCTCAAAGGAGATGAAATAATGTTGCTATGTAACAGAGGTGCCAAATATTTATTCCATAGCCAAAAGAAAAAAGATCTTGATTTTCAGTAAAGTGTGCACATTACTTCTATAGCCATAAATAAATAATTTTGAAAAGATATGGTGATTTCTTCATAAAAGGTAAAAAGTTATCATAACGTGAATTTTGTTTATGTAAAATGGAAATTCTACTTGTTCCTGGCCAAAGAGAATCTTGTAAACTATTATGTATCCTAGAATATCTTCTGGGACTCCATGTCTGCTTATGCTCTAAAATCCCAAGTTTGGGGCTGGGCGCGGTGGCTCAAGCCTGTAATCCCAACACTTTGGGAGGCTGAGGCAGGTGGATCACGAGGTCAAGAGATCGAGACCATCCTGGTCAACATGGTGAAACCCCGTCTCTACTAAAAATACAAAAAAGTAGCTGGGCATGCTGGCACATGCCTGTAATCCGAGCTACTCAGGAGGCTGAGGCAGGAGAATTGCCTGAACCCGGGAGGAGGACGTTGCGGTGAGCCGAGATCGTGCCATTGCACTCCAGCCTGGGTAACAAGAGCGAAAACTCCGTCAAAAAAAAAAAAAAAAATCCCAAGTTTGGCCAAATAATTAAAATATTAGAAAATGTTCAAAATATTAAAATTTTTAGGTCATCATTGCAAGTCCAAATCTTTAAGTTTTATAGAAATGGGTCAGCCAAAGTGCCCCACTACATGAGATTTACAACATACTTACATAGAAATCAGTACCCAGAACACATGTGCACACACATTGACAAAGCTAGTTCACCATGGATAGTGTTCACATTATTAGCAGAAGTAGCAATCAACATATTATACCTTTGCAGTTTCCAGATTCAATTACAGAAAAGTACGTAAGACATAAATATACAAAAGTACATAAAACAGACATGCACAGTTAAGTGTCTACTTTAATATTACTCTATTTATAATTATTGATTATAAAGTGAACACTTATATCACCACCACTAATGTCAAGAAAGAGAGTGCGGTCAGCACCCTTGAGAGTCCTCCATGTGTCTCTATTGATGACAATGCCTTCTCTCTTTCTAGTTGTAACCACACATGGTTTTTGTAATAATTTCTTTAGCACACAGACATATTCAGAAAAAAACCTAGCTTAGTTCGGCCTGTGATGTGGTTTGACTGTGTCCCCGCCCAAATCTCATCTTAAATTGTAGCTCCCACAATCCCCACGTGTCATGGGAAACACCTGGTGGGAGGTCATTGAACCATGGGGGAGCGGGTCTTTCCCATGCTGTTCTCATGATAGTA